TCGGAGGCTGCGGGGAACATTCTGTCCAGGGGGCAGCTTCCACCAGGCCCCGTTCTCCGAAAAGCCCGTGTTTGTCAATGCAGAGACAGAAGAGACAAGTTCCTGTTGTTTTCCCTTTAATATTATCCTCTTTGACACTGCCTGCTTCCGTCCCTGTCAGCCCATGTCGGATGCCAAGTTTTCAGGCTGGGTGGTTCTCACGAGGCCTTTTTTCTTTCTGCTTTTTATTTTTTGAGGTTTTATTTTTATTTTGGGGTTTTTTTTTTACTTTTTTTTCCCCTCCACATACATTGCCCAGTTTCCTACCTTCACACCATCTAAAAGGATGATGGGACAAATGAGTGAAGCCTGTTTCGAAGCAAAAAAACAAACAAACAAAAAAAAACACATCTTTTTGAGCTCTGCTCTTATTCTTCAGAATTAATACATAAGAAACCATGTTTCACGCCATAACTAGGTGACAGTGCTTATTAATAATGAAACAACATTATTTCTTCATCCTTTCCACTTAAAGGCGTGTGTGTTTACTCCTAATATTAAAGGTGTCAGTAAGTATGAAGTGTCACCTCTTGTCCACTGCTAGCAGGTACTCTGAAACAAATACACTGACGTAGTCAATGGGTCCTTCCCGTACAGCACTTTACAGTAACGAACATTAGTCTTTAATACCTTTGGGCCTGTTCGTAGGACAGTGTGCTGCCATTCTTCAAAACTCCACAGCAACAAACAAACCACAAAAATTGCCAACTGTCACCTTGAATAGTGATCCAAGTGTCCTGCTTTGCACAGACAAATGACCTGAAGCAACGAGGCTGCCTTTGAGACAGTCATTGATTTTAAATTAAAAAATAACAGCTATGTTTTACATTAAGAGCGACAACTAAATAACAGAGACGACCTTACATAGTAGTGTTGTTTGTGGCAACTCCTTTGCACGAGTCCGGGGGAATGGGCGCGGGACAGCCTCACGGGGGCAGGCTCACGGGGGCAGGCTCACGGGGGCAGCGTCACGGACCCGGATCTCTGGGTGTGCTGCAGCAGGTGGTTAGTTCTGGACAGAGTAGCTGCACTACAGCTAGCTGGGTTTCTTATGGGTCAAGTCTTCGAACTCAATGTGCTGAATTCATTAACTTTTAACTTGATCCTCCTCGAGCGTCTGTCTCTTTTCCTTTATGTACTTTTGATGGGGAGGAGGGAGAGGAGTTGAATGAAAACGTCACATTCCATTTGTCCTGGACAGATGCCCCCAAGGGAGTTTCGAGTCCAGCAGATGAGAAAGGGTTTGGAAGAGGAGATGCTCCTGGAGTTTGTTTTTCGCCATCTTTGTAAACAGGACTTCCTAAGAAATATTAAGCAGCGTAAAAAAAATAAATAAATAAGGTTTTAAAAGACGACCGACTTGGGAGAGTGATCTTAAAGCAGTTAGAAGACTCCGGTCCCACATAGCTGGTGCCAGAGGAGCCTGAGTCGAAGCATCGTCGCTACAGGAAGCGGCTACTGTGCGTCAGACCCTTATATCTGTCTTCTCATTATTCCTAGAAGTGTATTTCTTGAGGAGGACGCTGCTGGCCAAATTTTTTTTTTTTTTTTAGCTTAGTTTGAGCTTTAAATGTTTCCGAAAATAGTAAGTCCAGGACTTTAAAAAAAAACAATCCAAAATTATGACTTTTCATCGACCGCCTTCCCCTCTTGCCCACTGCCTCACTGGGATACGCTAACACGAAGAGCTGTTCTCGTGCGGCAGCTCGGTAGGATTCTCTCGTTACATAGCTGACGTGAAGCTCCCGGGGGAAGTGTGTGTCCGCACCGTCACAAAGCTTGTCACCTTCCCGTTCATCAGTCTCGACCGTGCCCAGCCGCAGCTCCTGCCAGCGCCCGTGAAACTGGCCCGTGAGGACTCCACCGCGGCTATAACGACCCAAACTCCCTCATGGGATGCGTGGGGCACATAAGGCCCAGCGTCCGGCCCCAGCACTTGTCTTCTGTAATATTACACACAGTTGACCCCTGAACAACACGGGTTTGAACTGTATGGGTGGTTCCCTTATACGTGGTTCCCTCCACCTCCAATAAATACGGTAAATGTATTTCCTCTTTATGATTTTCTTAATAACATTTTCTTTTCTCTAGCTCGCTTTATTGTAAGAATACAGTTTATAGTATATATAACATACAAAATACGTGTTAATAGACTGTTTATGTCATAGATAAGGCTTCCGGTCAACAGTAGACCATTCGGAGTAAAATTTTTAAGGAGTCAAACTTATACTTGGATTTTCGGCCATGCGGGGATCGGCGTCCCTAACCCTCTCGACCCCCTCATTGGTCAAAGGTCAGCTGTAGCCCTGCAGATACTGCTCTCCAGACATTCCGAGCTAGTCGCAATTCTCTGAACAGAACAAATTCTGTCATGCAGAAATACTTTCAGCAGTGAGTGTGAAAAACCCAATCGGTAGCGGTTTAACTTGTAAGACTGTTCCTTATGTCTTCACAAGGGGATCCGAAGCACAGAGTCCACGGGCTGGTTGTCACAGCTCAGCAGCAGAAGGACCACGCTTCCCATCCGCGTTCCCCCTTTATTCCCGTTCTCAGAATGCTGCCTTCCCCCCCGCCCCTAGCCGGTCCTGACGACTGAGGCCGTCAGGATACGCTCTGCAGAACGTAAACTCGACTCAGGTCTTTTGCTAGGAGGACGTTTCAGGAGGGATCAGAACTGTTAAAGGATAATTTTGTTCAAAAAGGTAAAATTGTGACTTTTTTTACAGGCGTAAAATGAACCTGTGTTTGAGATTCTCTTTAAGTCGTTAATGAATGCAGGAACCAGGCAGATGTTATAACAGGTTCAAAGGAGAAGTCAAAGAAACACAGATGTTCGTGGAGCAGGGGACATTGAAATGAATGTGCAAGTCGCTACGAAATACCTTTTCCACAGGGGAGAGGCTTGTCCTGCCTCTGGACAGAATTCACTTGTATGTCTACAGACCGGAATTATTTTCTGTGGCTTTCTGTCATCTATCAATTAGATGGAGTCACAGATGACTGGAAGGGTATATTCTAAAAGTACAGTTTTCCATTGAAGTAACAATTCCTCCCCCCATCCCCAGCCCCACCCCCACCCCAGATAAAAGGGGAAAAAAGTGCATTCAGTGCAACATACTTAGAAATGTTATAAAAACCTAAAACATATCGTCTCTAGTAATAAAGTTGATTGCGCCTGCCACTGCCTCCACTGTCCCTAATTACTCCATACACTTGTGGCTTCCTCTCCCTGCTCAGACCTGCGAGCTCCCCCAGTCACAGGGCTGGCACCTTCCATCCCCTGCGCATCTTCCGTCTCCTCCTCCCTACTCTGCATTTTCGCCGCCGCGGTGGGGTCTCAGGCTAAGTCAGTAGGAGATACTGACAAATGCTTGCCGAATAAGTGAATTCATTAATTTTGTATGAAAAGGACAGGTCTTCTCTGATAGTACTTTAAATTCTTTATTTTTTTTTTTTTAATTTTTAGATAGTTTGAAAGGCAGATGTGATCATAACCGTTCATTTTCCCTGGCACGGGGAGTCAAGACCACACCACAAAATCTAGTAAAAATGTTACAGTTATGCATGTTAACGAATACTTTGACAGGTATATGTGGTTATATATGTCTGCAAAGTTAGTCATTAACTGAATGAACTGATTTTTAAAATATTTAAATAATCATAAATATTTATTCTGTAACAGGGAAACCGTATGTATTCAATACAAAGGAAAGAAAACTAGACAAATGCCCGTTTGCTCTTAGCTATATTGAGAAACTTTCATGTGTGTTTCTTTGGTGCCGAGTATCCCTTCGATTAGCCTGATTGTTAATTGGACTTTACTTTGTGCCTTATAGATAGAACTTATATTCAAAGTAATGTTATTCCACAGCTCCAATTTTTCATAATATTTAACTATCTGAATGCATGTGTATAAATATATATTTGTGTTCTTACCTGAATTAATTTTTCTCCTTCTAAATTTTTCTCTAATAATCCGTTTGTTTTCGAATTGGGTCCCATAAAACTTCAGGATATTACCAGATGTCTCTACAAATCACCGAAATAACATGTGCTCTAATAACCCTGCTTCACCTGCTTCGTGATCACCAGACAGTATCCCAGCCCCAGAGACTGGGATTATGATCCAGGAAATGAACACAGAGTCCTTCTGTATCTTGAAAAATTTGAAGATGTTTAAATCCTTATCATCTCTGTATTAGTTTGTCTGGATATCCAATGGGCCATTTCTAATTTTTACAAAACTCTTTAATTTAGGAGTCCATGATTAGAGAAATAATTTAATTCTAGCTAGGTCCAAGAATAGCAGAAGGTCTGCTTCTCAGTTTTATATATCGTGTCTTTACAAATATAATCCAGTATCATGTTAGCCTGTTTAGTCGCATGCCAGCATTAACATATTCCAATTATGTTTCCTCACCTAACTGATTAATACTTAACTGAAGAATTCTAATCATGTGAATTATAAGGGAGAACATCGCTATTTCCTTCTATCCATCTAAAAGGTTTTAGGAGAATGCACTGCCGCATAATATCCTAAAAGAAATTGATCATACTTTTCCTGTAATAAATGTTGTTCTGACAGTAAAGCATTAGTAACCAATTGATAACCTAGCAACAATATTGTGATCCCTTTAGATAATTAATCTTAGCTATTTTCCTGTCAGAAGCAACAGTGCTTGATTTTATGTTGAGCCAGAAAGATTGCCAGTTTTGAAAATTAAAAAGCATTCCTTTTATATTATTCATTCCAGTAACAATTTATGATGGCGCATTTAGCTGCTGAACGCTTGTCAACAAACGTAATTATGTTTCGATATAAACAAGATTGGTGGTTTTACTATGCTGCTCCATCTTTGTTGAGAATGTTTTGATTTAGGTTCAGATTATACAAGCTGTGTATTTATGTGTCACTTTTTCCCTCCTTTGTTAATAGTTTTTTTTTTGATAATTACTTGTAGGCAAACAAGCATGCATTTAGGATCCTTATGTACGGGAGATGTCAAACGGAGGAGGAAAGCTGCACCTTTGCCTGGACCTACTCCTGCAGCAGGTAAAAGAAAAGGGTCTCAGGGCGGAGCACAGATATAAAGTTCGTAAACCATCAAGAATAAAATGTGGATAATTCTTAATCACTTGCACTGAAGAAAAGGCACAGTTACAGGCAACTTAAATCATTTGCATTTGGTGTCAAGAGGTATTGCATGATCCTTCTGAAGATTTCTCAGGCAGCCAGTCAATAAAATATTTGCTACATACCTGCCCCAACACAAGACTTTATGTGCGGTATTAAAGGATACAGAAACTTCAAAGGCTGTGTCTTTGGCCTCAAGAAACTTACAGACTTGTTGGGAAAATAAGGCATAAATAGATGCAAAGGCAAATAACCCCAGAAGAGATTAATAGTAATAAATGCAGAAGTCTAGGATCAGCCTCAGAACACAAGCCCTGCGTTGTAAGTGATGGAAAGCTGGCCGGGGATGCGGCAGGCTCGTTTCTCGTCCTAGCTCTGCAGCAGTCTTAGATTCATCTTTCCTTATTTAGACAATGTTAGCATTAGAATAATAATAATAAAAAAAAATCTCTCAGCATTTCCACCTTAAAAACCATGTCATTCCAAGAACAAGTCATTCTAATGAATGTGGAATAGGGAAAACCACCAGTGCTGACAGAGAGAAGTCTGTACCGGATGGGACAGGAAGCCTAGCAGGGCGAAGACGCAGGCTTGTTTGTGAAGGGGCTGAATAAGATTGGTACACACTGCAGAAATCTCATGCAAGAGCCGTGGTAAGGGGGGCAGAGATAAAAACCAGTGACAGGAAGAAGCCACCTGGGCATTAACTCATAGACGCCCACATAGGAATCAATAACAGTTGACCATAATGGGTGTGTGATACAGCAAACTGATCATGGGCAAATGTTTCAGTAGAGGTCCTTGGTCAGTTATGAATCATAGCGTCGGAATCTTGCCTGGGATCCTTACATTCAGATTTATAAACGTCCTCTTAATTTGGGGAACCTTTGGAAGAAAAGTTGTTTTTTTACATAATTAATTATAGAATAAAAAATAAGATTCACGTCAACACGGGAGTAAGTAGTGAAAACCCGCATATACATACACACACACACACACACACACACACCCTGACATGATAATTTCAAAGGAAATAAAAGATGTGAAGCTTAAATTCTCTATTAGGGGACCTATCCTATAGTTCAGCCTAAAAATTTGAAGAATAATTTAAAATCGAAACACTTATAGTGCTGTTTTTCCATCTATATGAAGAGCTACATTATGAAATTATGCATGTGGTTATAATATCTTTATCTTCTAGCTGTATTGAATTTTCATTGTGTGTAGAATGTGTTTGTGTTTGTGTAGGATAATACTTTCGCACTTGTTGGGTACTTACTATGTGCCAGAAATTTTAATATTTAATTTTAATATTTAATTTTATCTTTGGAACAACCTTATCAGCTAGCTGTTATTATCATCACTTTACACTATAAAATTAAAATTCAGAGAAGTGTTAAGATCTTCTTAGCTACCTAAGAAGACATAATTATTGGGTGGCAAAGGGAGGTTTCAAGCCTATATCTACATGGCTCCTGTTCTTCCCATGACAACGTACTTATGGCCTCTTTGTAAGAATATATCTGTAAAGACCCTGTCATTGCATGTTTACTTGAACCCACTATTATATAAGTTTCCTAGAAGATTTCTCTATTGCTCTGCAGAGATACAGAATATTCTTTAGAATACTTCTAATATATCTCTTTATTCAGGAACATTTAGCCATTTTTCGATCAACCACATGTCACAAGTTCTTTGACACTTTTGTAAGGCAGGTGCAACATTCTTTAATATCCCCATTCCAATTGAATGGTCCCCTGAATTCTCTGCAAACATTAGTGGCAGAAACAGTATAAGAACAACCTCAGGAATGTGACCGAAGCACCTCGATGCCAGCAAGAAGGAAGAGAGAATGTCGCAATAACACTGAACATATTTGAAGTGAGAAGGAGAATACAGGATGGTCGAGGATGATGATATAATGATTTCCACGGAGTGATTTTGACGTTACACCTCAACAGCATCAGAGGAAATAACTTGTATGGAGTATGGGTATAAACATTAAACTTTAGCCTAAAATATTCATAAGCCCACACCAGCATATTCCAGATGTTATATCTCAAAAGTACTGATTCTCTTAAGATTCAGGATTTTGATTACATTACTAGATTTTTTACTTAAAGAGTAAAATTCATAGAAATTTAATGCATTTTTTATAATTATTCAAAAAGTAGTGCTGTAGGAGAATTATGATACTCATTTTCGATACATTTTTAAAATCCATGCATAACTGTTTCTCTCAAAGAGGAAGAGAATGAGGTTATTTAAAAGTCTTCAGTTTTAAAAAGAATATCTTCTAATACTCTAAGGTAAAAATTATTATTCAAATTCAAGTGAGAAATGCGTTTGAATAAATACACATTGATAATCAGGTTATGAATCCTAGATCATCTTGTCTCTGGAAATTATAATTTTCAAATTCTAGAATATAGCAACTCACATAAAAAATATCAGTATATTTTTAAGCTTGCAAAGTTGAGTCAGCATGTAGAATTTTTTTTTTTGTCATTTTATAGGGCCTTGCAGACCTCCCCAAAAAAACTTTGAATTGAGATATATTTTCACAGTTCTTTCTATCTTTATTTGATCCAAACTGGAAAAACACAGGTGAAGATGACTCTCATTTAAAATAGTGAATGAGAGTTATATTGTTTGATGAGTCTGATTTATATGTGAAATATTACAGCAGGTTTAGAAAAGATTTACCAAAAAATTGTCATAAAATGATAATTAAATACTTTATAATCCCAAACTGGGGTTATACGACAATTTAAGATCCTAAAGATAAAGTTTATATATTGGATACATAATACTTTTTAAAAAGACTTAAAGTCCTCTATGAAATTTTCATCATCTTTACCGGCTAGTGTATTGACAATTCTACACACCCTGTTTCAGCAATAGCATCGAAGCATAATTTCAGTTGCTTTGTAAGGCTGTGGACTCGCCAGCAGTGTTATCGGTTGAACATTTATTAATTGTGACAGGAACACCAAATTTATTTCAGTGCTTTAGCTTATTTACTGCTCTTTCACCTTTATATTTTGTATTGACAAAGTAAAATGAATATTGATAAGGTTAGATATTGATTTTTAAATGTATGGCTTGTTCTCTGCCTCGTTCAAAGTCACATACCAAAAAGATAGTGGATGTCTCAATAGCAAAGGATGTAGATTTACTATTATCAAATTGAGAACTGTTGAAGCAAGAAGGTTTGCCAGCAGAATGCATTTTATAGTTTGAAAAATGTCATCTGTAAAGGTGAAGAAAGGCAGTGAACAAAACAGGAGGAATATTATTAACACATTTTTAAAAGGCAGTCAGTGGTGTTGGTTATGGTCGGTGTTGTTGGTAGAAGTCATAGCTTACTGAGGATTTGATAGTAAAAAGATTTAAATATGTTTATTAAGATATTGTGGCTACTACACTTTAAAAAAATGTTTTGTCCACTATACATTACTACAGTTGTTGTTCTCTACAATTAGTATTTGCTGTTATGTTACTACTTTGCTTTCTATTGAAATAATATTATGAGGAAAACATCATAGGAGTCAACCATTTTTCTGCCCATTTATACAAAGAGGTGCCTATTGAAGTTTAATATCTTAGTATAGATATTGCTGCAACATAACTGTTTAACTGTTTTCATGGACATGCAAGTTCTTGGCAAGAGGTTGCATTACAGCTTTTGTGATTTTTCACCCTTTTCCTCTGCATTCTAGTGATACTTCAATAATAAAATAATCTTTATCAATATTCAAGACAATAAAGGCAGGTTGTAAATTATAGTAATGGGTGAAGATTTTTAAAAAGTGCACTTTTAAGGAGAAGTTAATACTGAACATAATCAGGAAATGTTTGGTCTGACCCAGCTCCCTTTCAAGGTGCTATTTGTCTTCAGCTGTCCAAATTTATCTTACCGATAATTATATATTTATTTCTCTTATCACTGGATCTATAATGACTACTATAGATTATCTTATCTCTTCCAAGATTTTAATACAGGCAGACTTTTGAAGAGGAATTGTTATTAATTTGGAAACCAACCTATGTCTGAACATAGAGCAAAAGCCTAATAATTATATAACGTTCCACATCTTGGTTCATGGACCACCAAACCACCTTTCAGGTGTGTGTTTTGGTAGACTCTTAAAAGGCTCTCCATTGCCATTTGGTACAAGCTACCCCTGTGCCGTGTCCAGGTTTGCTGGTTGCAGAAACATTGAGGCATGTTGGTCAGTGCCCCAGCGGGAAGGGAGCCACACCCGGGAGCTGGCTGCCTGAAGCCAGACCCTCTGGAAAGCTCCATCCTCTGAAAAGAGCAGACTAGAAACAAATCTCACCCATAGGCACAGGAAAGTAAAGGATCTCATTGCTACCTGGGCTCCAAGTGGAACACTGAAGTTTTGTACCCAAGAGCCTACCCTCACAGGAGTTTCTAGTTTAAAATTCCACCAAGCCAAAATGTTAACATAAAAACCGGTCTTTGAGCAGATGCCCAGCTACTCCAGAGGTACACAGCCCCAAGTCTCGAGAATTACCATAAATGAAAAACGACTGAAGATGATCTCATAAAATCAAAGGGAATAACTGGCAAAGGAAAAGACAGATGTGGTAAAGAAGCAAGTAGAAATTTATTATTTTATTATGAAAAATTCTAGCAAAGAAACAAGTAGAAATTTGAGATTAGTTTATTATGAAAAAATCTTGAAAATTATAAACTTACTGGATGAGTTAAACAGCAGATTGGCTACATCCAAAAAAAAAAAAAACAAAACTGAATTTTAAGAACAATTTATTTGTTTATTTATTTTTAAGAGCAATTTTAAAGAAACACAGAGGGATAAAAAATAGAGAAAATATTAAAGAATGGCTGGACTTTAAGGAAAATGCAGTTCAACATTTGTCTATCAGAACTT